TTCGGACCATTCTCTGTAAACCCTAGAGATGGTTGTGCGTGAAAATCCCAGTAGATCAGCAGTTTCTGGCACCAACAACCATGCCACATTCAAAGGCACTCAAATCACCTTTCTTCCCCATACTGATGCTCGGTTTGAACTGCAGGAGATTGTCTTGACCATGTCTACATGCCTAAATGCACTGAGTTGCCGCCGTGTGATTGGCTGATTAGAAATTAAGTGTTAACGAGCAGTTGGACAAGTGTACCTAATAAAGTGGCCGGTGAGTGTACAAAAGAAATGTGCGTGGATTTAGGCGTACACAGTTTGATGCATCTGGATTTTTTTGTGCGTATGCCGTTTTCTGGATTTGACCGTACATCAGGTTTCAGTAAGAAATCCGCACAAGTCTTTGTACGTGAGGCCCCAGGTGACTTAATAATGAACCCTGTGGAACTCCAAAAGACAGAGGAGAGGATTCAGTCAGCTACGTTATTACACATGGTTCTGGACCGAAACCAGTTTAGAATGGTACAACACAAACTTACTTGGTGCTGTCAGCACAATACTAAAATATTGTGGTCTACTGAATTAAAAGCAGAGGTTAGTTCAAGCAGGACAAGAACCACATGTTTGTCAGAAGGATGTCATTACAAACTCTTGCTAAAATTGATTCTGTGCCGAGTTTAAAAACCAAACCAAAAAACATCCAATTTTGCCCCACCTGATTCTGGACTTAAATAAGTGCTAAAACCAAGTAAAATGATGGTTCTACATAATCATTTATGTTTCTGGTAGGTATAAATTTAGCTAAGGGTTAGTCATGTATCACTTTAGCACAAATATTTTCTGACTACGGACAAGACAAACAAACTGAAAAGCCATGTTGTCAATGTAATACTCGCATTTTTGAACTCCTATCCCTGATGATTATAAAAAACTGATGGCAAACATTGAACTCTTTACTTGAGTTTTTCTACTCAGATTGTGATGTTCTACTGTATTCTGGGACTAAGTTAGAATGACCACCTTGCTACATTTTGCTCTTCATAAAATGACAGCTTGAAAAAACAGATAAGATATGTGAATGAAACAGAAAACAAAAAGCCTGAAAGTTCAGGTTGTTATCCATACTGATCTCTAACCCTCCACAGTCACTAACAGTGTGTTTCATATTCAGGCTGAAGAGAGGTCGGCCTGATCAAAGCTGTTCACAGCTCTTTGTAGAAAACCAGCTCTCACTTACAGGACGCAGGACTTCTGTGACAAAGAGGAACCACATCCCCAGTTCCATATTAAGTCCATTGAGCGGTACATTATTCATTGTCTTAGTAAGACACTGAGATACAATACAGTCATGGTTGTGTTGTCTGTATTAAACAAGTAATGTCCTTGTTTTAAAATTTAGTGTGAAAATGTTTGTCCTGTACAGTCTTGATTGTAACATGGTTATGGAAACGATCAGGGACAGCCCACGTACACGGCATCATTTTCACTGAAGGCAAATCTCAGTTCAGCTGTACCCCAGTAGAAAATCAAACCTTCCACCCAAGAGACTAGACAAAACCAATTTGGGTCTGGTTATGTAAGCTGAAACACAATCTTCATTTCCAATCCAATATTTTCTCAACCGAATCTGTCAAATATTTTAACATCCTTCTAACCTGAATTATAGTGAAACCCTTTGTGTTTGTAAAATCCTAACTCAAAAAGCTCGTCTCATCCTGTTCAAAGTTTCTCATACTTTGAATAAACTTAAATTCAACATCGTCTCATAACACTGTCTTGATAAATCATTGTTAAATGAAGATAAATGTTTAAATCATATTCAAAATATTTACTTAACAGTGTTTCCTACTGCACATATTTAGTTCTGCTACAGCTAAGACACTATAAGACACACATTCACACACTGATGGTGGTAAGCTACTTTGTAGCCACAGCTGCCCTGGGGCACACTGACAGAGGTGGGGCTGTCATGCACCGGCGCCACCAGGTCCTCAATATGAAAACTTCAGCACAGTTATCAAACCAAACCTGATTGTATAATGTGACAAACGTTGGTCAAGACAACTCAAAACAGTTCAGAAATCACAGATAAGAATGTTTTTTTCAGAGGTGAGTTTTCATAAAATATTTTGTTTCTTCAAGAGGCGGAGCTACAACTACTGAGCTGACAGACGTCCCACTTTGATACAGGAAACAGGAAGGAAAACAAGCAGCTGGACAGTGCAGCCTTCCATCTAGAGTTTCTGCTAAATTAGTTCTTATGAATAAACAACATTAAACAAATATGTGTTTGCACCATATTCATTTGGTGACTTTTTACAAAAGGTTTGAGTGCGGATTTTGGGTTTTTCTTGTTCAGGTTTTGCTTTGAATTTGTTTAAGTCTGTTTTTAAACTGAAACCATGAGTCAGCAGATCTGGTCTGTATGTAAGAGGGGACAAGTTCAAGTTATTATTTTCAACTGAGGACAATGCCACTATGTGATACGTAGCATTGATTGCATTGCTTTGCGTGGCCTTCTTGTACGGCACAGTGTAGTAGGTCACTACTTTGTATACAAGTCATTATCTTTGTGCCTGTTTCAATTGTGGTGTGATGTTTTCTAACATGAAATTGAAAATAATACGTTTCATATTGGTGGGAGTGGAGTCTGTTTATTTATGAATGGTTTATGGTGAGTGGGGATGGATATAAAATCCATATGAGCGGAGGCCTCCTAAGTGGGCTTATTGCTCTCCCCAAAAAGTCGCTGGTCTTTATTCAAACCTTCTCGTCCCTCAGATGAAGGACACAAGGTTAGAAACACTCAGTGTTCTGAGCTTCTCAGGATCCATAAAGGAGTTCCCAAGAATTATTTCCCTTTGACCGCTCAGAGCCAGGCAGTGGTCTAGACTCTTAAGTAGTGCAAAGAGGTCTCTAATTCAATGCTGTAGGCATCACACAGACCATTGTCATGGAGTCCCATCACCATTTTATGGCGGTTGAGCAGATTGTGCCCAGTTAGGACTCCAACCAGTGTACCTAGAGTTTTCCTTGTCAGGGAGATGAGAGCTTTCCCAAACCTTTGATTTGGGCCATTTATCAGTTCCCGTGTCTGTCTACAGCTTCCTCCAGTGGATTGAGTGTTGATGTCTAATTTATTTATGAAGCCAATACAAGTGCTAAACCGTTGAACAAAAAGTTAGCTCCACTGTTAGCAGGTTAGTGGAACCGTGCTCACCTCTGATAAAGGATAAACAAATCAAACAATCTAATGACTGAGTTCACATAAGGTACAATCAATCCATTACTGATCAGAAAAACATGCTGGTGATCTTATTAATGAGTGCCTTGTGTGCAGTCAGGGGTTGGAAACCCCTCGTTACACTGAAGACTTTGAAGGCCCTGACAGATTTCCTCTGTTAAAGTCGATAGGAAAACACTGAAACTCTTTTGCAACTTGAACAAACATTGGAAAATGATTTGAACACTTGGTATTTGTGCATATTCTGCTTTATTTGCAAATCAGTATTACAGAAAGGTTCTATTAGCAAATAAAAAAGCAGTGTTCTGGCAGATGTTTGTACGATCTGGTGGTGTGAACCTGTGCTTTCTCCCCTGTAGGCTCCAGATGTTGGAGGCCATCTGTAAACACTGGGAAGGTCCCATCAGCCTGGCCCTGTACCTCTCAGATGCTGAGGCCCAGCAGTTCCTGCGCTATGCTCAGGGATCTGAAGTGTTAATGAGCCGAGGGAATGTAGGCTACCATATAGTCTACAAAGAAGGCCAGTTCTACCCCGTGAACCTGCTGCGGAACGTGGCCATGCAGCAGGTCAACACACCCTACATGTTTTTATCAGATATTGATTTCCTGCCCATGTACGGCCTCTACGAGTATCTCAGGTAAGAAACTCAACATTTTACTAGTTTTCCAGGCCGTCTTTATTGAGAATGATTTCGTTTTGATTCTGTGACATTTTACAAATCTGTGCAGAAAGTCGGTCGTTCAGCTGGACATGGCCAACACTAAAAAAGCTCTGGTGGTTCCAGCCTTTGAGACCCTGCGATATCGTCTGTCCTTCCCAAAGTCGAAGGCTGAGCTGCTTTCTCAGCTGGACATGGGCACGCTCTTCACTTTCAGGTGCTCAACACGTCAGCCAGTCCTTTTCTCATCTAACAAACATAAAACGTTTAGCATAACAGGATTGAATGTACAACACAAGTTTTAAAAAGTTGAGCCATTGTGGAAAATGTGAATAAAAAAGGAATGTGATGATTTGCAGCTCATAAACCTTTACTTCTCCACAATGAAAATCAGTGGTGGGCACCAGTCCACTAAAGCGCATATCCGCTAATTGCGGACCTAAATATTTCATTTGCGCTTTAGCTGTCTTACTAATTTTTATAATTCATAAGCGGATTTGCGCTTTCTAAAATTAAAATGCAGTACAGCTAATAACTAATTATCTACCAGTCAGCGTTATCTTGGACAGCAGAAGGTATGGCTGTCAATGAATCACAACACATGTGATTTATCCAACAGCACCCCTCCCAGATAAACACACTTATTGGAAACCTATACATCCTTGCTGACAGTTGCTCTCGGTCACAGTTCTGATTTCCCACAATGCTTTGTGTCTGCTTACATAGCAGGAAGACAATGTTTAGTACTCCCTTTCCCAGCAAAAACAGTAAACATTTGTAATCCATACTAAAACATTTTATGTATTGATTTATTTTACTTTACAATCGGAGCTCCTTTTTTTAAAAAAAAGTTTAAACGCTGGAGCTCAATACTTGACGTAACTGGTCGAAGCAATTGGCTGACGGGGTTAGACAGACATCTAGTGGTCAGCTGGAGCAACTACATGGAAAACTTTCGTTTCCTGTCACAAATCAAATCCGTCAGGTACCCAGAATGCATCGCTTCAGTTTTCCAATAAACAGTTTTAAAATTTATCGATGCTTCTTTAATGAAAAATCTACAACAAACAAAAGAAAAAAGACAAAGAAGCAGCCGAACTAGCAATCCTCAGCAACTTTTTAATTTTTACACCAGGAGCCAAAGTTCTGTTTCAGGAAATCACGTCCCCAGCAATCGGTGTTTGTAGGATTAAGTTGTACAAGGGTTCATACACCACTAGTTTGCAGTGTTGTGCAAATATTGTACATGAATTTCTCCCAGGTAATAAGTGTTAAATTGAACTTGCGCTTTAAAATTAGCTTCTGTTAATTTTTCTATGACATAAACGTTTTTGAAGTTGTGGACCTAAATATTTTCATAAGTGCTTTAAAAATTGCGGAGCTAATTTTTGGGTTAGCACTGCCCACCACTGAATAAAATAAAAACTGGACCATAGTTGGATAAAATAAGGTAATTTGAAAAAATAATGGCAGCAACGCATTTCTCAAAGACAGGACCAACAAAAGACCGTTAAAGTGCCTGTGACATCAAATCTGTCTTATAAACATGAATGCATTTTTGGAAAGATAACATTGGTGACATACGTATGTCAACAATGTAAAGCAAGAGCACTGCTACATGAGCTGACAACGCAGACTATAGAGAAGAATCTGATGTTTCTTTAGATTATGTTGAGTCACTATCAGGGAGATGAAGAGTCAGAGTTAAAATTGCATTTCAATAAATAAAAAACATGGAGTCCACTTTCTTTTGAGTTCCCAGTTCTCCATCAATGCAGAAAAGTTTCCAGATTGTAGACCATCTGCTCCCATCCAGACATGTTTCTGAGAAACGACGTTCCATATTTTAGCAAGACACATCCATTACATCAGCACGGCTCATAGCAGAAGAGTCCAGGCCCTGAACAGACCTGCCTGCAGTCCAGACCTCTGACCAACTGAAAACATTTGATCCATCATGAAACACAACGACTCAGATCTGCTGAACAGCTGGAACCCTCCCATCAAACAAGACAGCAACAACTTTCCCTCCAAAACTGGTCTCCTCAGTCCCTGGATGTTTACAGACTGTCGTTGAAAGATGAGGAGACGCTTCACAGAGGGAAACACGATCCACCATTTTGGAATGTGTTGCTTTTGTTTCACATTAAATAAAGCAAGCTTGTAAACTTCTAAAATCTCTTTGTATGTTGGGACAAAGTTGCTATTATTTGTAGTTTTGAACTCATTTCATGGAGTGAACTGTGTTAGAACGATTAAGTTAAACGCTGCACCTCAGAAACAACATGTAGGTGATTGTCTAAATTCCTGTTCTCTACACTCAGATACCACGTGTGGACGAAGGGTCACGCACCAACTAACTTTGCTAAATGGCGGACAGCCACCACGCCTTACAAAGTACAGTGGGAGGCCGACTTTGAGCCGTATGTGATGGTGAGGAGAGACTGTCCTGAGTATGACCGCCGCTTTGTGGGCTTCGGCTGGAACAAGGTGGCTCACATCATGGAGCTGGATGCACAGGTGAGCCATCGCCACTTACTGCTTTAAGTTTGGTTTTATGCTCCTTAATGGAACATTAGCTGCGTTTCCATTGACCATAAAAATACGCAAATTAGAATTTCGAAAATAAATTTGCTCAATGGAAACACGTCAGTTTTGAAAAAAATTATGTTTTTCGACAAAATGTTTTTGCGCTAGGATGAGGTGGTTTTTCGGCCGTATCGAAATTGGTGTTTTCGCAAAACTGCAATGGAAACACTTTTTTCGCATCACAGGAGTCACGTGATCAACAACCGGCTGTTTCTACTGGCGAAAAAGACGATGACGAAGACGATAACAGGAAGTAGAAATAGTAGTAAAATCACAGAAGTAGTAAAATAAAGTAGTAAACTCACCGACTACAATTTCCCAAAAACACAGCATACGTAGCCGCTCCCAAGTAGGGACTTGTCGCTGGAAAGCCTCAATAAAAGACGCCGATGTCTCCTCTGATGATGAGCGCTAGTGTCGCGGTAGCAATATGCTATGTATTTACATCCATTGCCGCCATGTTTGTAATGACTTATCACGAGAACAAATGTATTCACACATAGGGCTGTGTATTGGCAAGAATTTGGCGATACGATACATATAACAGAGGGGTCACGATACGATATATCCCGATAATATTGCGATATTGTAAGCAAGGCGATATTTTATGATATATTGCGACAAAAATTCTATTAAATAAAAACCTCTTACCAAAAGAAAAAATGAAAAACCAAAATTCATTCTTTCAGAAATTCTAATGTTACATAGGCATACTTTTGATACATTTAGCTCTGTTCTGCTTTGTATGTATTTGATTTTATTTGTTTCATATTTCTTATTTCATCCATGTTTTCAATTATTAGACTAAATTTGCCAATAAATAGTTTGAAATATAGTTTTTGCGGCTTTTATTTTTTAATATTAATTTACAATGTGGTCACCCAACGCTTAACAATAGCCTTTATGTTGTCATAAAGTCAGTAAACAGATGATATGAAGTTGCTGCACACAGAGTTTCTGGGATCAGCTGACCTGCATCCAGAACCTGATTTACATAAATGTGGGTCGAACAGCAGGGCAGGTCCCGAAAATAAACTATAAATAAATGGAGAAGCTAAACAACACAGTTAAACTGTTTTTGAAGCAAACACAGCAGGACAAACTTAAAGTTTATGGACTATGATGTGATCAGCTGGACATGAGAGCAACAGACAGAGTCTTTTCCGCTCAGATTCAGCTATTGGAGCATGAAGCTAATGTTTACTCACAACGCTAATGCTACCCTTACTCTCTGGCTCTCAACAGGTAGAGGAGCCAAATGGCTGGCTCACTGCTGCCAACTAGTGGTCAGAGGCTGAAGTACAACATAAAAGTGGAACGGCTGGCAGGAAAGTTTACATTTTAAACCTTAATAAAAAATCGATACAGGGCTTTAGAATATCGATACAGTATTGGGAAATGAAATATCTCGATATTTCAGTGTATCGATATTTTCTTACACCCCTATTCACACATGACTTTAATAGCATTTCTTACTTAATGGAAACACCGCAGTTGCGAAACTGTGTTTTTTCGACATTAACAGAATATCGACAAAGTTTTGCGCACATTTGTAATGGAAACGCAGCTAGTGACATCTAGTTCAAAATGTTTAAAGCGTCAGATCTAGAGTCACGGGAAAATTAAAGTCCATCATTTTTCACCTGTAAGGTTTTTTTTTTACATTTAAGGACATAAAGAAAACACGTTACAGCTGTACAGTGGGGAAAATTAGTATTTGATCTCTTGCTGRTTTTGCAAGTTTGCCCACTGACAAAGACACGAACAGTCTATTATTTTAAGGGTAGATTAACTTTAACAGTGATAGATAGAATATTAAAATAATCCAGAAAATAACATTGTATACATTATATAAATTTATTTGGATTTTGCAGAGAGAAATAAGTATTTGATCCCCTACCAACCATTAAGAGTTCTGGCTCCTACAGACCAGTTAGACACTCCTAATCAACTCATTACCTGCATTAAAGTTCAGAGACAACTGTTGGTGCAACAGTAAGAAAATGGAAGAAATACAAAATGACTGTCAGTCGACATCGATCTGGGGCTCCATGTAAAATCTCACCTCGTGGGGTATCCTTGATCATGAGGAAGGTAAGATCAGTCTAGAACTACACAAGGGGAACCTCTGAATGATCTCAAGGCAGCTGGGACCACAGTCAACAAGAAAACCATTGGTAACCATGATGACGTAATGGGTTAAAATCCTGCAGTGCCCACAACGTTCCCATCTGAAGTTTGTCAGTGAACACCTGGATGATTCTGAGAGTGATTGGGAGAAGGTGCTGTGGTCAGATGAGACAAAAACTGAGCATTAACTCAACTCACCTTGTTAGGAGGAAGAGAAATGCCAACTATGACCCAAAGAACACCGTCCCCACTGTCAAGCATGGAGGTGGAAACATTATGTTTTGGGGTGTTTCTTTGCTAAGGGCACAGGACTACTTCATCACATCATTGGGAGAATGGATGGAGCCATGTACCATAAAATCCTGACTAACCTCCTTCCCTCTGCCAGGATGGGTCTTCCAGCACGACAATGACCCAAAACATACAGCCAAGGCAACAACGGAGTGGCTCAAAAAGAAGCACAATAAGGTCATGGAGTGGTCTAGGCAGTCTCCAGACCTTAATCCCATCAAAAACCTACAGAGGGAGCTGAAACTCTGAGTTGCCAAGTGACAGCCTCAAAATCTAAATGATTGAGACATGATCAACAGAGGAGTGGACCAAAATTCCTCCTGACGTGTGCTATTCTCATTATCAACTACAAAAAGTCTGACTGCTGTGCTTTCCAACAAGGGTTTTGCCATCAAGTATTAAGTCTTTTTTGTCAGTGGGATCAAATACTTATTTCTCTCTGCAAAATGCAAATAAAGGCATAATTTATACAGTGTGATTTCCTGGAATTTTTTTAACATTCTATCTCTCACTGTCAAAATTAAACCACCCTTTAAAATTATAGGCTGTTCATGTCTTTGTCAGTGGGCAAAATTGCAAAATCAGCAAGAGATCAAATAATTATTTACCCCACTGTACAACTGTAACATTCATCAGTTGTGTTTTCTTTATGTCCTTTTATGTAAACACCTTTTATTATAATTTGATTCGATGCAACAAAATAAATTACAAAGGTAATGTTTGTTCTTTACATACTGCAGTGTTCCACCTACCATCAATGGGCAACGCCCCCTGAGTTCTTGAAATTTCATCGAGTTTTACAGATGTGTTTCTGTACAGCTTAATAAGGTCCCATCATAGCATTTTAGTTGGGTTAAGGTTGGTTTGGGATAACAGTTCTGTTGGACCCAGTTCGGTCCAAACTTCAGCTGTCAGACAGATGGAGTCAGATTTGACTCTAGTGGAAGTCTTTGGTCCACAAAGGTGGTCCACTCAATGTGACCCTGTCTGGCAGTGGTTGTGAGGTGTTTGCTGCAGTGCATTCTGGGTAAACGTCTCTGCTGTCTCATTGTTCCAGACATCTTGTGGCTGCTTCGTATAAAACTTTACCAACATAAATGATAGGGCTGTGTATTGGCAAGAATTTGGCGATATGATACATATCATGACAGAGGAGTCACGATACGATATATCCTGATATATTGCGATACTATAAGCAAGGCGATATATTGCGATTTTTTTGTCCAAGAATTCTATTAAATAAAAACCTCTTACTGGGTAAAAAATGAAAAACCAAAATTCATTGTCTCAGAAAATTCTAATATTACATAGACATA